CTTTCCGTACTGTCTTCGACCTGCTCTGGAACAACTCCCAGTACTGCACTGAACAGGGGCTACACTGTGAAACTCTGAGAGAGGCTCTGTTCTTAGCCATTTGAACTGTATTTTTAAAACTATGATTAAAAGGAACAATTATATATCTCAATACAGCAAGGACAGTTATTTCAGCTTATATTGTTCATACTCTTTAGTTCCAGCTCAAATCTTCCCTTCCTCTACCAAGAATTCTATGAAAACTGCAGTAGAAAGAGTACTACCTCTATTCAAGTCAGCCTCAATTGCCCAACTTACCCACATGGCAATCAGTACTGCCATGGACGAGCTTTGTTATGTAAACTGTTATTACAATGCTGTGATGTTTAATATTTCACCCGCTTGTCATGCCCACACCCACCATCGTTTCATAAGGCCATTGGAGCCCAAGGATACCTAGTTCACAACTTTTGACTGTGCAGAATAATGTGCACATAGTAGGATATATGTTACATTTCTTCAGACCAATTATCCAAAAATGAGTAATGACACTCTTACGTAAATGAGCCTCAAAAGCTGTTATCACTTTCTTTGTCCCATCCCAACTTCATGCTGAGTATGTTTCTTCATTTGTCAGGTATAATGATTGAAACTCATCTGCTGCTTGATTTCTTACATCTGGCTATACTAGGCTCAAGAAGAATCTACTCTCCTGCAGCTGGTGGCTCTCAGCTCGGCCACCTTCTCAAGTGACTCCAAGAAAATACAATAGAAGTTACAATAAAGTCATCCAGCACATTACAGTTGCTCATTAAATGTCTGTGGAAAGAACATGATTTCCTTTGAACACCTGAGCTCAGGTGCTCAGCTTTTTCTGATCTTCCATTACATTTGCTGTCCTTGTAGCTAGGAGTACATCCTGTTCTCCGTCATATTCCCAATGTCTAGTACAGTGCCTGGCACAGAGCAGGCATTCAACAAATATTTGTAAAATGACTGCAACACTCCTTTGACGCTGAACACACCTGGGATCTTCAGTTACCTTGCAGACATTCATCCCATCTCTTCAACTAGATCTTCAGCTCCATGTGGGCAGGGACAAAGTCATATATGGAGTATAGCCAGATTGACTTTAG